TTCCCTCCTTTTTGCCATTTTTCAATTGGTCAAGCGGACCACGAAATTAGTGAAATTAATACTTAAGTTTACCAGCTAAAAATTTATCAATAAATGAAGTTTAAAAAATACAGTAAAGGAATTTAAAAAAACAACTAAACAATGTATAAACAAAAATTTGGGCAATATTTGATACAATAGCAGTAGTACTTTATTAATTAATATATTAATAAATATGTTTACCAGTTCAAAATTTATCAATAAATGAAGTTTTAACAAGACAGTCAAGGAATTAACAAAACAACTTAACAACTAAACGACGAATGTACAAGCATTTGGGCAATATTTGATACAATAGCAGCAGTACTTGATTAATTAATATATTAATACTTAAGTTTATCAGCAAAAAGTTTATCAATAAATGAAGTTTAAAAAATACAGTAAAGGAATTAACAAAACAACTTAACAACTAAACGATGTATGTACACACATTTTGGCAATATTTGATACAATAGCAGTAGTACTTTATTAATTAATATATTAATAATTAAGCTTACCCGTTAAAAATTTATCAATGAATGAAGTTTAAAAAATACAGTAAAGGAATTTAAAAAACAACTAAACGATGAATATACAAACATTTGGGCAATATTTGACACAATAGCAGTAATACTTTATTAATTAATATATTAATAAATAAGTTTACCAGTTAAAAATTTACCAATATATGGAGTTTAAAAAATACCGTAAAGGAATTAACAAAACAACTTAACAACTAAACGACGAATATACAAACATTTGGGCAATATTTGATACAATAGCAGTAGACAATTTCTATTATGGTTTCCTTGCTTTATTGTTTATATTTCCTGCAACTTTTGGGGTATCTCTCCAACTTGGTGAGTTTTGCCTTTTTTAGAGTCTTTTTGTTTCTTCAGTGTCCAGGCAATAACTTCGTTCCTCAACATCATCATCTGAAAAGGTGCAGCCTTTTCAATCTTCCCTCTTTTACGATTTGTGTACTTTGTAGCTTTTGGCTCTGATTTAGTTCTTCCTCTTCTTTGCCTTCTTCTGCAACGGCACCATTTCTCTTGGGTGTTCGTTCTTTTTGGTGGGATTACTTCAAGATTTAATTCATCATCTCTGTTAATCTAACATGTTAATCTATAATTAGAGCGTACTAAGCTCAAGTCGTTCTGTGATCAAACTTCATATTACATTTTAGCTATTTTGATTCAAAATTCAAATCAATTCGTGAGCTGTTTGCACATCGACGCTACTCATAGCAGTACAATTTTCACCACAGTCGACATTACATAGTTTCCTACTTGTTATCTATAAAGGAAATCTTTTTTACAAAGATTTAGTTTAAAGAAACTAGTATTTTTATTAACTTGGAAAGAGAAAACTCTTCTTGTACAATCATATGAGTTGATTTGACGATTAACTAGTTTTCTTTTTATAGTTACTTTTTTAAAAATTCTTTATTGGCTTCGAAATGCCGTAGGCGAGTTGGAAAGAAAAACAGTTTTTTCATGAATTTTCATCAATCTTGATTTGCAATTCCTTTCTGTGCACTTTTCCCCTGGGCCCTTGTTAGAAATTTACTTTCTCGTACTACTAATTAGACAGAGTAGCGTGATGTAGCACGCAATATTTAGTTAAGGACTCACTTCTTAGAATACCGCAGTTTGGCAATTTTCCATTTCCTTCCGGCCTTCGGGGGAATTTCCCAATTGGCTTTCGACAGTATAACCAATTTTGGACAGAAGAGCCATGGGGGCTGAACTTGAAGACGTCGACTTTTGATAATTCGAAACCCAAGGGACCTACTTATATAAAACAGAAAAAATAATGAAAGAGCGAAAATAGATCAACTGTATAATTAAACACTGTTACCCGTTATTAAATAAAACCGTGATGTGTTTTTTTTTTCGATTTACCGAAGTGACCTGCCGACGACTTCGTATTATCAAGTTTCGAATTAACAAGAATCTACTGTATCTTGTTTCGCATATTTCCGAAATTTTACTATTTTTTTCTCTTTCTAGCTTTTTTATTTATGCGTTGTATAGTAAGACCCATTAGTGACCCTGGCTTCAAGGTTCAGAATTCCTCTGTACGTCCATATTTCGAATGCTTCCAGCTTCCAGCTTCTTGCGTAAGGGTCATGTGACACCATAGAGATGCTGAATAGATCAATGTATTTGAGTACGAAATTTAAAAGATAAGTCCGGGTTTGTCAAAACTTCCTTTTTGGAAAGATATAGCTTGTTCATCTCTACGAGGGATTTCACATTTACCTTCGACCTAGCAGTATTCATTCATAAGATGATAATCTCTCAGTTATATCACTGCCGATCTTCAGAAGGTTCACAGGAAGCGTTTTGATTTGATAACCATCCATTTTACCATATGTAAGTTCTCACTTCTCAGAATTCTGCAGTTTTGCAATTTTCCGTTTCCTTCCGGCCTTCGGGGGAATTTCCCAATTGGCTTTCCACATTATAACCAATTTTGGACAGAAGAGCCATGGTGGCAGGCAACTTATTTGTTTATTTCATTGAAGTGATGTGGTATGGACAATGATTTATGAGGACTAAATATTTTTCTTGTTTATCCTTTATTATTTCCATTAAACCACCTAAACTTTTAGAAATTTTCATTTTGTATGAAAATATCTTTATTTTCTTGTATCAACTGGCGTGTCAATAATTTTTTTTAAAGTTTTGTACGGTGCCTGTGATGAAAGGTGAAAAATTATTTCCTGTAATTTGTAAGACCCAAAAATCTTGTACGTGTTGGATCAAGAAGACTCGTGCGTGATCTTATAACAACTCTCCGGTCCGCCCGTTCTCGCTTTATTTCAGGATTTTCCAACATTGCAGATTGAACGGATTGCACTTTGTTTTTCGAGGGATTTCCTGTTATAACCTACTATGAACAAATAATAAATTGGTGTTTATATGTTCGATGTTCCAATGATTATCGCCATTACTTGGATCAGGAACTTAACCAGAAACTTATTAACTTTGAGTCTGAGTCACAGTAAACGATTTCAAAACAAGCACAAAAGAGATTCCAACTATGAAAAGGCAAACACTTTCGCAATAAGACACGCAATACCTTTTAAAATCCTCTTCCGTACTTCACCATTCAATTCACACACTCGACTTAAATCACATATTTATATTCATAAAAAAGCTAAAACGAGAAAGTATTGGTAAATATTTATGAAGGGTCTTATCAAACGGATCTCAGCAATAAAAATAATCCGAAGCTAAATTATGTGTACTTATTTGGTAAAGAGATAAATTTTCTTATTGGTTTTTTTATTTGATATTCTTTCATCTGTTGTTTATTGGTCATTCGATTTTGTTATTTGACAAAGACATCACTTCCTGAATATTTTTCTTTCTTTTTTACAGTCTATCTAGAAACATATATAATTTTAGTTAATTGTAAACCCCGTCACAAAGTATATTATATACTGTTATAATATACTTGCATTTTATACAGATGGAATCTGTCCATGTATTTAGTGCCCCCGAGTAGAATTTTGAAACTGTAACTTGGTCTATATTTAAATAAACACTTTATTATTTTGTGTTATTATTATTAATATACTTCCATTTACAATTCTACTTGTGATTGTATTTTTTGCTCCAATAAATATCTATATAACATATGTGTTTTGAAAAGATGAATTTCTTTCCCAGGTTCTCTCTCTCACTCTCTCTCTCTCTCTCTCTCACTCTCTCTCTCTCACTCTCTCACTCTCTCACTCTCTCTCGTACTCTCTCTGGCTCTTAATTTCCCATTTTCCTCTTTCTCTTTCTCTTTCTCCTTCTTTCTCGTTCACTTTCTTTCTCTCGCTAACACACTCGCTCTGCCTCTTGTCCCCCCTCTCTTTGTGTGTGTCTTTCGCTCTCTCTCCCTCTCTCCCTCTCCCTCTCTCTCTCTCTCTCTCTCTCTCTCTCTCTCTCTCTCTCTCTNTCATAATCTCTCTGGCTCTTTCTCTCTCTTTCGCTCTTTCTTTCTCTCTTTCTCTTCCTTTCCCTTTCTCTCTTTCTCTTCCTTTCCCTTTCTCACTCACTCACTCATCTCTCTCTCTCCCTCTCTCTCTTTCTTTCTCTCTCGTACTCTCTCTGGCTCTCTCTCTTTCTGTTTCTCATACTCTCTCTCTCCCTCTCTCTCTCTCTCTTTCTTTCTCTCTCATACTCTCTCTGTCTTTCTCTCTTTCTGTTTCTCATTCTCTCTCTCTCTCTCTCTTTCTCTCTCTCTCTGTCTCTTTCTTTCTCACTCTCTCACTCTCTCTCTCTCTCTCACTATCTCACATATAGTCTCTCCACAAAGAAAATCATCTTTTTAATTCACCAAATCCCTGTAATGTAATGATGAAAGAGAAACATGCCAAAAACGTCTGGCATACATAAAAAAAATTGTGTATATCTTTTTATTTATTTACTTTTACTACCTTATTTACTACTACTACAAAAATAAGCATTGCATGGCTAAAGTTGATTATTGAAGGCTTTACGCTTATAAAGCTTCAACGCCACGCTGTCTCGTTCCGAAGTTGGGAAGTTTTCGAGCTGCCTCATTGAAAAGCTGCCTTGACATCAACACGTTTTAAATCTTTATAAAAGCGAAGTAGGGAATGTAAATAATGGTCCAGTTCGTATCCGGTTCTTCGCCGTTTACGCAACGTACGAGGAAAATTTCGGTTGGCCAACGACGTAGGGCCATTAGATCTATTCTTCACCCGGACGCCCTTGAAGTCAAAAAGAGGGATAAAACCGAAAACCCTTCTAAATAGGTGAAAGTGATTTGGGTTTTATGCAACAAGGTAACTGACAAGAACACCCACCGTACAACCCCCTCACCCAGCTCGAATAAGTCGTACAATATCTTGAACGAATACCCAGAAATAGTGGGAATACGAGACAAATAAAATTTTAAATTTGGAATGTTTAAAGATGCGGTGAAGATGCGTGGTTATGAACCTGCAGCTGGACCGACTCCGATCACCCTCGTCCGTCTAGTCGCGCTGGTTTCATCCGTCAGAAACATTTCGTCGTTTCACAATTCTCCGTGGTCGGTCTGAGAAGGAATATACAAAAAAAGCAACCACTGATGATGGCGAAATATCAAAACGATAGACCAGCTAGACAAGGCAATGTGATCTGGAATGATCAAGTATGATTAAAAATATTTTAATTTCATTATGCTCTCATTCAGTTGTTTCGAGCAGTTTTATTTTATTTTTTTTGCTATTTCGTTCTTAGTTAAATATCAGCTATACGATATTGTATAAAATGGATGTTGTATTAATGTCAACAGACAATAAACCTAGATTGGGTCATAGTTCTATGAGAAAATTTAAATTTTCTTACCTTCAGGACAAAAATGAAGATAGATGTCAATAAACCAGCAAGAAATATTTTGTTGATAGTCTGGTGTTTTTGGGTCAAGTACAGAATTGGTACTGTGCTTTTCTTGACTAACCAATTTTCAGAATCATTGTTTACCAATTTTGACAATCAGGGATGAAATTAATCACCAACATGTTTCTTTATACTATTCTAAATTCTTGTTACTCTTTTTCTATAATTAATGTATATCATAATTTCACTAATTTCGTGGTCCGCTTGACCAATTAATATATTACAATTAATTAAGGTTTTTAGTTGAGATAAAAAAGTCAATGGCAAGAGCGGGATTCGCGATCTTCGGCTGCGGCGGCGTATCTAGCCGAAGATCGTGGGTTCGAATCTCGCTCGTGCCATTGACTTTTTTATCTCAATTAAAAACCTTAATCAATTGTAGTTTATCATAATGTGCAACATATTGCGTTTAGGTTCACTCCGAGAGCTACACAGAAAATATCCTGTATATTTTGTGCAATTCCAGTTTTTAAAAAATTATAAGCAGATTTATGTTCCTTTGTGGATTATGAAGCGAACGTAATTGACTTTCACTTGGATTACAGAGAAATTATTCCGAAAATGCATTATGTAAATCATTGAGATCGCTGTTTCCTGGTAGTCCAATGGCTAAATACCAGTTTTTACATCGAAATTTGTTACATCTTACGTTTTTTGAAAAGTGAGGGTGTAAATAAAATGGTTTTGAATGAAAATTGATACTAAAGCATGACTTCGTTTATGATGTGTTTATTGTTTAAATTAATCATACTTTTTATCTAAGGTCTTGGTTGAGATGAAAAGGCCAATGTCACGGCTATTAGAGGAACGGTGTGTAGGGCCGAAGGTCGTGGGTTCGAATCCCGCTCGTGACACTGCTTTTTCACATCAACCAAGAACTTAGTTAAAAAGTATAATTAACTTCAATAAGTAATAGGTCAACTATGACTACTAAATACATATATGGATTTATTTAATGTTATGAAATTACATAATTTCTTTGAAATTGTAATTTGGTCGTTTGATCATCCTGATCTGCGTACCCTCACTTTGTTGGCCTGTCAGGCGTGTCGCGTTTCGGCCTCTCGTCATCTTCACAGTGTTTGTCTTTTTTTAAAAATTGCTAGTTGAATTAAACAACAATTATCTTTATTCAGAACAATTCAATTAATGTTTATATCATAATATTCAATTGTATATCTTGTTCAAAATTGTATGAAAAACTCAAATGGAGTTGAAAAAATTATATCGTTTATTAGTGGAATTACTCTAAAATAAGTAAATATGGGGCAAAACCAAAATCCTAAACACTCACGCTTTTTAAGGTGAAAAAAGTTGAAATTTTTAGTAAAATAATATTCGCATTTGCAAAAATTGTTGGATAAATTTACAATCGATTAAACGAAACACTTCCTCACTGAAGATGTCGCAATGCCGACCTGGACCCACAAGTGACCCAATGAAGTTCAGCAATCATCAGGTTTTTACGATCATCTATAAATAAGTTTTTTACACTTTTGGCCAATTTACTTAGATTTCCTTTATAACTTTAATATAACTTTACTTTATATTTAAAGAATTGTTATAATAAATGATATTTATAATATTATATTTTATGGAAAAAATCGTGTTTTTGTATAATTTGAAAAAGTCTTAGCCCATTGTGTTTTGAGGTATCTGAGGTACCAAAGATAACAAAAATCTTCCACTCGTAGGAAAAACTATACTGTTTTAAAGCTGCAAAACCAAACTATTTTTTAGAAATTTAATTAACATTCAGTATAAATAACTTTATAACTCTACTATACTTTTAAATATATAGATTGTGTTAAATAAATACTATGTAAAATGAAAAATATTTACGAAAACAATAATATTTTTCATGAATTGTAGGAATTTCGTTTTTTCCTTGTTGTTCACATAATTGTAGATCAGGTTTCCTTTATGGAACTTTTCGAACCAGTCATTATTTTTCTCATAAGCATTGCTCGCACATACAATGCAATTTTAGATGAAATTTCAAGATGTCTCCAATTGTATTTTGGACTGTCTGAGTGTACCAAAGTTACTCAAAATCTTCCACCTGTTAGTTGCAAATTTTGGTATAGTATGGATTCAAACACAAATTCCATTGTTATCTGTCAAGCTTTCGACGTATTTTACGTTCATCAACAGGGCAAAACAATCCTAAAGGTGTCTACAGATGATTGACATAATCAAGTTTTTAACAAATGGTTAAAATTTTTTTGAAGAACTCAGTCCCAACATTGCCAAGGTCTGTCAGTTTTACAGTTGTTGGTTTTTCAAAGTAATTTGAAACCATCTGTAAAAAATGTAATTATGTTATCTATCTTTCAGACTGTTTTGCACTGATGATGACCTTAAGATCTAAAGCTTGGTAGATTATTGAATTTGTTTTTACGCCCAGATACCAAGATCCAGACGAGTGAGTAAAAACGTGGTCGATACAACTTTAAACAAAACGTTGTCAGTCTTTTTAAAATGTCTTTTTTTCTGTTCTTTCTTATGTCCATTACCGTTGATCATAACTTCTACCCCCTTGCGTTTACAAAAAACGAACTTTCATGATGTACTTGCTATAACTTTCCCGAGCAATGAGACAGCTTTCGTGATAAGTTGAAGCGAAAGTGGGTTGCAAATTGCATAAGTCATACTGTTATTCAAATTTCGCGAGGTACGATCATGATCATAGTTTTCTGACGCGCTGGAAACCTAATCTCGAATTCCATGCTGGATAGACAGGACGGCGAGACCTTTTAAAAAAATCTAGTATTCAATAAAACACACTGCTTAAGTTTTACAACTTAAAAAAAAAACCCATTCCTTCTTCTGGAATAAGGCGATTTATTACAGAATTTACGCAACGATTTCATATGAAGTGACTTGATCGTCATTTGACTTTCTGTCGAAGTGCTCTATTGCAAAAATAATTTATGACATGTGTCATGTTTTGGGGGAACGATTACATCATTTATTCTGCTTTCTTCGTTCTCTTTCTATCATTCATGACATTAATGTCTGATATGTGTCACAAAAATTGGACTTCCGCAGCGGAAACGGCCTTCTTCGCCTTTCGATGTTTTCATTTTTAGACTACCGGAAATAGAAAATCCTTTCTGCAGCTATTCAAATGGCGGTCCTTGAAGTTTAAGGCAAGGAAGGACGAATCTCGACAAGAATGACTTTAAAAAATTCATTTGCTTGCTAAATAAACAATATTTTGTCTCTCTTTTTATCTAAACTTCACTTTTGCAATGCTGGTTAATTAAATTTAGTACACATCTTTAGCATAACGACTGATTATTTTGCTGCAGTTAGAATAATTTTTCTTTTTGATGTTGCTCTTGAATATCTTTAAACCTTCATCCATCACATAGTTAACAAAACTGGAAATAATTTTTGAAAATTGTCAGCCATCTGTAACAATCATTGCATGGATCCCCTAGACAAAGAGCAACTTGTGTCACTCATGAGTGTGAACAAATTTATCATTGCCACAACTCAAACAAATTAATTAAAGAAAAGAAAAATCTGGACCAGACCCAAATAAATCAGAACAATGACCTTTTAAAATAAGTGTATTAAAATTAAAAAATAAATAAATAAATAAATAAAAATAAAAAGTGACCAGTGACATACGATGTGCCTTTAACAACGTTGAATAAAAGGTCCTTCCTCGTCCTTTCAGGTCTCACCAGCTCTTCCTGAATCCTGCGGTTGAGCTTATCCCAACCCAAAGGATAATACTTGTTAAAAAAATATTGTTATAAAAAATCCCCCCCACAAAAAAAAAAAAAAAAAACGGGGAAAAAGAAAATTATTATTCTTATACATTCAAATGTTTGAAATTTTGCAAGGATACACATATATCACTGATCACTTTTTTATTTTAATGCACTTCTTTTAAAAGGTTATTGTTTTAATTTATTTGGGTCAGGTCCCAATTTTTCTTTTCTTTAATTAATTTGTTTGAGCTGTAGAACTGATATTTGTTCATACTCGTGAGTGACATGAGTTGCACGATGTGAAAAAGATCTGCGCAAATATCATTATAAATATTGGTAGCGATATTTTCACATATGCAAAAAAAGTACATATTATTGAATATTTTATAATTTAATTGTTTATTTACAAATTTAATAATTGTTTAATTAAGAACTATGTTTTTTGTTAGGCAGTTAAAATTAATTAACAAATCAGTAAAGAAATTGCCCATAAATTCAACCTTTTTGGCTAAACCAGATTTCAGGATTTCCTCAATTTCAGTGCTCTTCAAGCTAGTGGTGATTACATGTCCACTAGCGAATCGAGTTCTGATTTATATCCGCTTAACTATGCAAAAATAACGAAAAAAAGATGTGCCTTCAACGATTGAATAAAAGGTCCTTTTTCATCCTTTCGGGTCTCAACCAGCTCCGCCCAAAGCCTGTGTGTGAAGGATTAGCTTATCTCAAACCAAAGGATAATACTTGTTAACAAAAATATTGTTATACATCATAGTAAATTATTTTAAAAATATTAACTTCTGGGTAATTTCAATTTATCTAAATTTAGATCATGCCATTGTGTGTTGTTAAAATTAAATAGATTTACATTCATTCCTATTTTCTGCTTTTTTAACTTTGCACATAAAATTAATTTGAATTTTTTGTGCTAAAAATACTTATTCTTTTTATTTTTAAGTACTAACCAGATTTTTTAAAACTTTTTTTCTTAATTTTATTCTAAAAACAAGATTTTTTTCAGATGGATAATATACCCACATTTTATTACAAGCCCCTTGAGGTGCCAAAGGAATTTCAATATCTCCCTGACAGGATTTCTGAATACCTCAATGGAAAGACTCTCTTTATTACTGGAGGGTCGGGATTTTTGGGCAAAGTCCTTATCGAAAAGATACTGCGTAAAGCCCCTAACGTGACCAAGATCTACATGCTGATGCGATCAAAGAAAGGAAAGGATGCAAAGCAGCGTATTGAAGAACTGTTCAATTCTGTTGTAAGTAATTTTTTTTAAACGTAAAATATAAAATAAAATAATTTTTTTATATGTTAAACGCATTAACTTATTATAGGTGTTCTCCCTTTTGAAAAAACAACATGGGAATAAGATAGTAGAAAAGGTCGTCCCAATTGCTGGCGATGTCAGTCAGGCCAATTTGGGAATTTCACCAGAAGACAGAAAACTGCTTCACGATTCTGTTGAGGTGGTTTTCCACGCTGCTGCCACGATCAGGTTCGATGAGCCTTTAAAGAAAGCTGTGCTTCTCAATACCCGAGGGACCAAGTACATGATAGAGCTTGCTGAAGAAATGAAAAAACTCGAGGTATCTTTTCCCCCAAAAATAATTATTTTAATTGTCGCTTAACCATTTCTGTCTCTTTAGGTATTTTTACACATATCTACTGCATATTGCCAGTTGGACCAGAAAGTCCTAGAAGAAACACTCTACTCCTGTCCGAACGACCCGCATAAAATCATCAAAAGCTGTGAACTCATGGATGAAGAATTAGTCGACAAAGTTAGCGAAAAGTAAGTTGTAAAAATATGTTTCAAGGTCTTTTAAATTTTAATTTTACCGATATATAATTACATAGTATGTATCTCAAGTTTTGCTCAGATACCGCTGAGGATCTTTTCCTTAAGTAATTTTTTTTTTAAATAAAATGTCTACTTTAACCAGTCATGTTTCAAAATAATTATTGAGGACATTATAGTGAGGCAATTTAAATTAATCATCTCTCATGATAGAATATTAAGTTATGTCATAAATAAACAAGCATTAATTGCAGTTTCATTTTTTGCTCTTTTGTAAAGCACACTGTCAAAATGGCACCATGATCAGTGTTCATAACAAATTGTATAATATGACATAATGAATATTAATGATTTTTAATTTTTGAATTAAAATATTACAAAATATATACATATGCATTTTGACAAATGAATTTAGGCATTAATGTGACATACTTATGAAGAAAACAAAGAAAAAATTATTTTTTAAATATTCAGATATCGTGAGATGTGACACACCCGACCGCACCTCACGATATTTGAATAACTATCGATTAACAGTCACTAATCTACACATTTTTTAAATTATTTTACACCAAAAAATCACAATCTGACATAAGTTGGCAAATTTACAACCAAAAACATCAAAATACCAAAACTATTTGTATTTTGTCAAATTATACTACACTAAGAGGCAAAAATAATGGCCTCCCTTAATTTTTTAAATTATATCTTAGACAATTCTCCATTGATTGTCTTAAAATATTTGGTCCGTTTTAAGGGTTTAGAGGTAAATAAAACCCATATAAAAATCTCCCATTTGTGTTTACAATTAAATTTTGTAAATAAATTTTTGAATAGTTATTCTTCTTCTTTGTTGGGTTTTCTGTAAATCTTCTTTCTAATGCTCCAGTGGTTTGCTTTTTATTAAGTTGTACCATTTGCAAGTTTCTAATTTGTTGGAGTGATGGTTTTAAATGATACAGATTTAGCTAGATCATTGCATTGTTGGAAGATGGAAAAGTTAAGCGTATTTGGCCAGGGACCTTAATATTCCCAGAACAACTGTCCAAAGGGTCTTTCATCGCTACCAAGTTACTGGGGGTTACTCAAGAAGCCATCAGGTCACCATCATGTCACATCTCGGTGTGATGATCGTTTTATTGTTCATTCAAAACCACGTAAAATCTATCACAGTGTATGCAAGCGGTTATCAATGCAAAAGGAAGAAATGCTCCGAACTGAATTGAATATTTTCATTTTTTCCATAGAAACATTTTTGGTAAAATTGTGTTACGCAGTTTAGTTTTTTAAATTAATTTATTTTTTATTTAACTGTATTTTATATTTTACTTTAGAATATCCAGTAAACAATAAAAAATAAAAATTTTAACGATTGCAAGTATTTACTTAAGAGGGTGGACACTTTTTTTGCCTCTCAGTGTAGTTCAAAGAAATCAATCACGATCATTCCAATTGCCAGGAGATGTTGGCACAGCAATGCAATGGGCCATATGCACAAATCATTGTGGCAATGTTGCATATGCACAGAGTGTGCCGTCACCAGCAAAATATTAACTGAACTGGCATGGCACATTACAGTGTTGGCCAGTGACAGTCTAATGGGTGTTTTCCTATGCTATTGGTACAAGGAATATTTCTTTGCATGTATCGGATGGTTACAGTCCTAGTATGATACGTACTAGTGTGCAAAGACCTTAAGCCGGCATGTAAGATCAGAGGTGATTATTTTTATTTAGTATATCTCCACGAGGTCTAGGGCTGAGTGTCTGTCTCTCTGACCACTTGGGTACCGCAGTCCTCAGATTATAACAATTGCACGTATTTACTAAGCAAAAACCAGGGTAGCCATTTTTTCCCCTCTCAGTGTATCTATGTTTATTCACAAAAAAGATTTTTTTATTGTTTGAAAAATTCTCTGGCCTGGATTATAATAACTTAGTGTGTAAGTGAAAAATTTTGTAATATGACTTTCCCTTTTCCAGAATATTGAAAGAATTTCCAAATTCATACGCTTTTACGAAAAACCTGTCTGAGAGCCTTATCAGTGATGCGATAAATAAAGGCATGCCTATTATAGTCCTGAGACCTTCAATTGGTAATTAATATTATTGCAGTACTATTTCTGTACATTGACTGTATTTATATTAGCATTTGACAACTTTTTACAGTCATTCCAACTTGGTTAGAGCCAATCCCAGGATGGACGGACAATATAAATGGACCGACAGGGCTACTTATCGGTGCTGGAAAAGGTGTTATCCGGACTATGTATTGCGATAACAGCGGATATGCTGATTACATGCCAGTGGACATTTGTGTGAATGGAATCCTGATCGCTCTCCTCAATTACGCTGTTTTTGGGTAAGTAGTATTGATATGACAGTTGTATTCCTGTTACTAATTTTCCTTTTCAGAAACAAACACTTGAAGGTGTACAACGTTTGCTCCAATGAGGAATGGAAAATAACCTGGCAACAGATCATCGATGTCGGTAAAGACATTATCACTAATGAAGTGCCACTTAACAATGCTGTCTGGTACCCAGGAGGCAGCATGAAGCGCAGTCGATTCCTGCATAATATCTGCGTCATACTTTTTCACATGCTACCTGCCTACTTTATCGATTCACTAATTTATTTAGCTGGTCATAAACCTGTGTAAGTAATAACGCCTCTGGCAAATGAATGATCTAAGAAATAATCGATATTCTCAAAACAGGCTGCTGAGAGTGCAAGACAGGATTAATAAAGGATTTGAAGTATTTGAGTATTATGCAAACAATCAATGGGACTTCAAAAACGATAATCTAAGAAATTTACGAAACGTTTTAAATGAACGAGAAAAGCTTGAGTACTGCATCAATGGCACATCTATGGACATGAGGCTTTACTTCAGGGATTGCATTCTTGCCGCGCGTTCCTATATCCTCAAGGAGCCCCCAGAGACTATCCCCGGGGCCAGAAGGCATATGAGAATGTAAGCCAGAAATCAGCTTTAAAATTTACTTTTTATGATTTTTTTATTATAGAGAAATTTATTGTTCGGATTCAGTAGTTAAAATATTTACACTCCTTTGTTGATTAAAAATCTTTGTCTTTGATAACAATTTATTAGTGAATATCAGACAGGCTTTAGGCATGGGTACTCAACCTTCATCTCATGCACATTATGTATCCTTGAAAAGAGGTGGAAAGCTTTACTGATTTTTTGTTGCCGTAAAACGGCTTTTGGAAACAAAACCGTGCTGCTCTATTTCCAAAGCTTTGTAATATTTTCAAAATTTGTTAACCGTTTGAAATCCCTATATTGTAACTTAACAGCTGGTATGAAAGGAGTGAATGGGAACTTGAATTTTTGATAGTGGAAAGGGTGTTTGCCAAGGTTGCTTACTGAGCCCAATGTTGTTTTCCATGTTTATTGTTGATTTTCATCTGGCTCTTGAATGCGGTGTACTATAATGAATGTATTAATGGATGCTGATTATGTGATCTTGTTGATAACGAGCTATTGTGACCTTAGCAAATCTAAAGTATGGTATTCTGAGGACATTTCATTAATCAGCAATTAATTGAAATTATACGTACATATTCCAAGTATAAGTATTTGTCTTCACCACCTGTCAACATGGATATGGTTAAATTTTCTTGGCCCTTAGTACCTTGACCACTCAAGGTAGGTGTTTCAGTTGATATGCCACTCTATCTCCTGTTATGGTGCTTAAGTTTGGGTAAGGTGCTAGAAAGACCACACTTTTTTTAATATAAAGAACTATTTGCTTGTGCCCACAATCCATGCTACACCTACAATCACAGGTCGAAATACTTTATTTTAAAACTACACTTTAATAAATACTTCAACAATGTAATAAATTTGCTCCCCTTCTTTCTACCCAGATGGCCCAGAAACTGTAAGCGGGCTTTGATGCTCTTTGTGCTTAACCTAGGCAATAAGAAACATTCAATGTAAGCACTTAACTACTTTTGTCTGGAGGGAAGATAGGGTTCCAAAATACAATAAACCAGAGAGATATATTCATAAATATTTATTGTTACACTGGCCCATCATAACATAGTAGCAAACAGACAAAAATTATAATCAAGTCTAACTACGGAGATGAGCTTATTCTCTTGAAGATTCACCCTAAATGATGAGGTATCACAGGCTAAACCCTATTTACTGAAAATGGTGCGATGCCAAAACGTTTAATAATTCAACAAACCTGAAGTAAGATGACCTCAACACTTGTTCAATACGAGTTCACCGACTCCCAGACCAACATCCAGCATCAGCTAAATATGCTGGATTACATGTATACTTTCATTATTGTCATGTATTTAACAATTTGTAAATACATATAAAAAATGGTTTTATAGTTGGCAACTAATCAAAATTGCAAACTGGCATAAATATTTAGGTGTTGTTTTTCAGAGCTTACTATTTATTTACCTTTCCTGTATAGTGTACTTTTGTTTTCACTGTCTGATGCTATGTTTTACCTCTATTTTAATTAATTATTTATTTTTTGCTGGCCAACTCTAAGGTCATTGCCAGGTCCTCATATATTTTCCACCTCGCATTTTTTACTTATTGTTGAGTTTGAGGCTAATGATGAGTATACTCTTGCCATCATTATAAATGCTTCATTAGTGATAAGCGAGAACTAATCGGAGAGATGAGTCTGCTGTTGTTGTTGATTAGTGATTGGTGAGAGCTCATCAGGTAGAAGAGTCTCGAGGTGTGAGTGAGACCTCGTCGGGTTTACAGATCTGAAGGTAAGGTGAGTTCTCATTAAGTAGACGAGTCTGAAGCCCTGCTTATATACGCGCTGGCTCTGTTCTGATTTACTGCAGAGGGGAGGGCAAGACCATTCCAGAACCGGAAGTGACATCTAACAGATACCGTGGTAACCGTAGGTTTCCACTACATTGGTATTGGTGCTGTTGTTTATACTCTTCCAAACTCTTTTACTCTTCCGTAAATGGCTTATGTTCCTAATTCAGTGTTAAATACATGACTATGTTGACACACTAAATTATTTACAAAACCACAATTGGGAAGACATCAGAAATAACCGTCTTAACCTGTCTTCCCCTTCATTCTCGCTAATAAATACATTTGTAAGAGTAGACCTGTTTATGCCTAATGAAAGTAGGGAATTATATCATTATTTTATTTATTTTATTTACTTTTTTTTTTAAATTACATCTCATCTTCTACAATGTCTTCATGACAATTCAATCCAAGCCAAGGGGGTATTTCACTAAATTATTTTTATAATCTTGTTTTTTTTTTTTTTTTTTTTTTTTTTTTTTTTTTTTTTTTTTTTTTTTTGTACAGTAAAGTTACCGCCAATAATGAACATATAACTCTTTTACATTTTCAGGATGTACTGGGTCGATGTGCTCACAAGAATCGCATTCCTCTTCTTTATCTTTTGGTTCTTCATGTCTTCAGCAGGGCCCCTCTACAACTTTGGGCAGACTGTGTACAATCTTATTTGCCATATACTTTCTTTTTTCACAACTGATTCTACTGTGCAGTCGCTTAAAAATGAAGTCTGATAAGGGTTTTAAACATATAATTGCATTTTTGTTAGAATAGCTTAGGGTTTTAGTTTTAGAATTAAATTTTAAGAACGTAAGTATTAAAATTGTCTTGTTTTATTATTGTTTTAGTTTTTAAAATAAAATTAAAGCTTAGGTTATCATATTACATTATATAATTTTTATTAATCAAATTTTAACTGTGATATAATCACAATGTCCATCTTAAATATTATAATGTATTAAACATATTTCATATCTATGTATGTGACTATATATTTATGATAGTAAAAGATTATTTCTAGTGATAGAAGTTAATTTTTCATCAAACTTAAATCAAAATTAATTATACTGTTCATTTAAAAACATAACCTGTCATCTTAATTGTAAATAAAATATGTATTATTATTTTATATTTTTATGAACTTTTTAATTCTTTTGTCATCAAAGCTCAATAAAGCATGACAGCACATCCCTGTTAAATATTTTTTCCACTTGTTTCAATTAAGAAAAAAACAGAAAGTGAGTAAAAATAATGCTTTGTTTGGCCAGTATCAGCTGCTTAAGAATAATAATTATTTTAATTTGAACAAATGCTTTTATTTTTTTATTTATAAGGTGCATAATAAAAATCACAAGGGAATCAACAATGTTGGAAAGAGCAGACAAAATACAACATAAATTTTTGATAAAAGTGGAGATGCATTGGATTTATTTTGACTTTTACCTAATACAGCCAGCACTTATAGAAAAAAAAAAATTATTGTACAATTAAGGGACTGCAGTGGCTGAGTGATCAACTTGAAAAAGTAGGATAAAGTGGTTTGACCCCTCATTCCAGTCTCCCAACAATGGAATCTACTCCTAGCCATATCCGACTTGTATCTCGGAAAAAAATCAGAAAATCAAAAATACTGCATGACACACAATACTGAGGAAAGCTAAAATTGATTATGATGACTAATTACATAAGTTTAAAAAAAAATAAATTTGGAAACGAGTTAACCAAAAGTGCGTTTGTAATAAATCAAAGGAACAATCTGTGGTAAAACCTAACAACACTAACAATTTATTTGATTAAGATTGCACTTAATTTGCCAAATAAAAATAATTCAAATGTGATGCTTTGTACTTTAAGAGTTGCTTTAGTCATGAAATTATAGAAGTTACCAATAAGCTAAAAAAAAAATTGAATGTACCTGACTACTATGGTCATAAAACAGAGCTTATAAATATAAAAAAACTTATAATATAAGTATCACAACCATTGTGTACATTAATAAATGAAAGTATTATATAAATCTATATTTCCTGTCAGAAAATAGGTGTGGTGCTCCCATTATATAAAAAAGGTGATAAAAATTTAATATTGAATTATAGACCTACATCTAGCTTCCTGGTTTTTGCCAAAATATCTGAAAAACGCTTAAAACCCCGACTACTGGAACACTGAAATAAATAACATGTTCACTAACAATCAATTTGGCTTTCATAAAAACAATAGTACAAAATATGCATTTTAAAATTTGTTTACTTCTTTTTTACTGCTTTGAAGTGTTCCTATTTTTTAGCAGCGTTGCTTGACCTTAACCTTAACTCATTGCCGCACCTAACTCTCAAACAGCAGTCTGTTATGTAGAATTTCAGGATAAGATAATAAAGTGTGAGTAGGAAGTGTTTGAGTTTATAAAGAGCATGCCCAGGTGCCAGACCCTTCAAAAGCTTATGCTACATCTAAAAATGCACCCAAGCAATATTTTTCATTCTCAAAAGTGGAGATAAATTCAACAACTCCGAAATCCTGTTGAATAATAGAATAATGTGGAAGGAAGCCGAATTGGTGAGAAGTAACATTGAAGAAACAGTCTTGCTCTCCACTGTACATCAACAACAAAGAGATACTGACTTCCACTCAAGTCAAATACCTAGGATTACACCTAGAGAACAGACTGATGTGGAATTGCCACATAAGACTTAAAACATAACAACTTAACAGAAGACTTGGATAACTACGAGACGCCTAGGACCGAAGATCTGAACTTTTGACTCAACTAACCTTACAAGACTTTACTGTAACTATTTTGGACAAACAGAATGCACAAGTCCTCTCGGATTAGAGCATCCACTCTAGTGCTTCTTTTCTTCACGACTCGCATCATGGGACAAAATGATCCTCATCTTACCAGATTCTCCAAACGGTTGTTCATAAATTGAGATGACTGTTCCTGTGGTTTAGCCTAGTCATCATCCTTCAATTCTATGCAGATCACTTTCGTCACAACCTGGGGCAATTCCAGTACATTTCCTACATGACAGCATAGATTCTATTCTTCCTGAAGTTCCCTTGTTCCTCTGCCCACATGGCCTGAATTGCCCTCCTGGGGTTGAGGTCTACGCTGAAGAGTTCATTCGGACCGGACTTCTACCTCCTGGTTGATGATGCTCTTTGTCAAAGGGAAGTACCCCCTCAAAAGGCTCACAAGTGTACTCAGCCCACAGTATGTCTGCAATATTCCCAAGAATGCTAATATTTCACACTGCACTTTTTGTGCCCAAGTACCAATAGGTTTCATTGGGGTCTGCTTCAACCGACCATTCAGGGACTAAGAATCAAATGAAAGTGACGTTGTCTTGGTCCCAAGACACTTGGAACTCATCACCAAACTACCAATTTCCAATAAGAAGGAAGATCAGATAAAAGTGTAAAGTTATTCCCGCTTAAGTGAGTATTAATCTAAACTTGGCATTGTACAGGAGTAGCGTACATTTGGTTTTTAATTTTGATTTAATAATTTAAATTAGGCAACAACAATGCTTTATTTTCTTATGAGAAATCAAAAGGTGATTTTTTTTTTTTTTTTGTTAAATTTGATACCCAGTGATATATAATGACTAAACTGACTTCATTTCTGCTTAAATTGTGGCAAATCCAACCACCAAAACAGACCAAAGATCTAATGCATTGCATCACTTGAACTTAGAGCCAAAGTGTTTGAGACAACAATGCTGACTCAGGTGAAAGCAATCCCTCTTTTCTTGAGAAATTAAAGGTCTCTCTATTAATTGTGCCCATGGCTGGAACATTTCTTTAGGGTGCCTTTTTCCATATAGCGTGCCTTATTATTTCCCAGGAGTCCTTTGTGCACAGTCAACTACCATTGTTTTTTCAAAAATGCTCGTTTGACATTCCTTTCTGACAAGAGCACAAATGTCACTCTGGACGAGGTAGAATTCACATCATCTTGAAGCTCACATACATATTAAACAACCAGCCATGGAAAGCTCTTGAGCAATGTTACCAGAGACCTTGAAAATCAACCACCCTGGCTGTTGGATCAGACCTTGGTCTTATCTGTCCAGCCACCAAGGTTGGGCTCAATTAGATGGGACACATCGAGCGACCTATCTCTACATGCCTAAAAAGTAAATGTCCTTGTATAACCTTACATGGCTTATGGTTAATCGGGTAAGGATGACCCTTCTTCTACAAGTCAGCTCCTTCAAGGGCCACCTGTTGGCAGTCCTCTTGATACCTGTGTGCTTCTTTGCTGACCCAAAATGTAAAGAAAAAGAAAATAAACTTTATTCTGGGGCTTTAAGCTTTTTTTTAGTCATCTAGGCTCGTGCTCAACACAAATAAAAAAAAGAACAAATACAATTACAAAGATTCAAATACAATTACAAAATAAAAAAATATACTCAAAATGTAGTGTATAAAATTAAAAGAGACAATTATGTTTAACAATCAAATGATTTAATAATAATTGTTCAATTAGGGCAACTGGTGTTAAGTTCAAAGTTGCAATGACAGGAGGTAATTACTTAGACAGGTCTTAAAGGTGCGAAGAAAAGGGGCGTTGAGGATAGAGTGAGGAAGGGAATTCCAGAGGCTGGATGAACGGTTGAGAGAGGAACGATTAAAAGCAGTAGTTCTGTGTTCAGAAGTTTAGAGAACCGAAGAGCTAGAACAGTATGACAGTTGTGTACAAAAAAACCTAAGGTTAGATCATGTATAAAAGGAGGGGAGTGGGAAGATATTCTTTGGTAAAGGAAGTTGCCAAGGAACTAGGAAGTATAACCTGCTGTGAGAAGGGTATAACGCATAACCACTTCAAGCTAAAGTACAATCACGTGGGACCTTCTTGTAGAGCCGAAAATAAAGCGTACAAAACAATTCATTAAGCACTTAAGTCCATCATCCAGCTCCCCCGAGTCCCCATTCACCACACATCCGTAGTCAAAGTAGAAAGTTGGGAGAATAAGAGAGAAAACAAGGAGTTCACGTACTAATGGGAAGATGGTAGCTGACACGACGGTACTGTTGGAGGGTGAAAAAGCAGCGGCGGGAGATCTGGGAAATATGAGGATTCCAACATAAGGTCTAGTCGAGTACAATCCCAAGGTTCTTAACAGTGAGACAGAAATAAATAGGGTGATTGTTAATGGGGAGGGATAATAGGCAAGGATTGAAAGAGAGAACGAGATCCAATCACAATGGCCCGAGAGTTTTTTACGTTAAGTCCCTTTTTAGTAGCCCAGGAGGTAATTGAATTTAAGTCCTCCTGAATTTTTAAAATTGCACCTTGTAAGTCAGCAAGTGGGAAAGAAAGATTTTTATTACAGATCAATCGTGGCTGAAGAACGAAATTATTCAATAATTCTCATTTGGGCTAAGAAGAAGGCAGATTGAAGCAATGGAAAAAAGTAGGGAATAACTAAAATTTGACGAGATACACTACTTTACAGTAATTTAAGTTGGTACATAATAATGTTTAATAGGAGGACCGCAGTAGCCGAGTGATTATGAGTATCAACTCCCATTTGGCACACTAGTGGTTCTATGTTCGAATCCCGGTACCGCCATGGAATTTTGTTAGATAATACGAAAAAAGATTGTAAAATTTAACCCTACGTCTGTTCCCAGGTAGTAAAACAAGAATAACTAAATTTTTTCGACGAGAAATACTTTGAAAAAAAAAATATATATATATAAGAAAGATTTCTCCTTGAGGTCAGCGGGGCGATGAACTTGTAGGTGAATTGTTACCGATTGTCCTCGTCCGACAAGTACCGATGTTTCGGTCTATCAGAGGTGTTTTGTTTCCAGGGGCACGAGAAGAACGCACAGACTCATCTGCCAGTAGACGAAACAGAGCGATCAGAAAAGATCCCAACTGTAGGTTCAAATTTAAAAGAAAGATAAATAGGTTTGCCTTATGAATAATGTGACCTGTTTGTGTCTGTCTAGTGTTGCTATTTTGGTCTGTCAGCCGGATGTATACACATGCAAACAGCGAAACTAGAAATACCAAGATGATCAGAAACAACCAAAATCAAATAATTAGTAAACGATAAACA